AACAGAAGCTCTGGCTGGGAGACCTCAATGAGATCTAATGACATAGATCTGTACAAAACGCTCCCTGCTTCTGTGGAGCTTCCAGCTTCTCCCCAACCCCCCCAACCCTGATTAATTAATTCTATGCCCTGCCTTTCCCATGTCTGCCTGTGCCCAGCCCAGCTGTTAGTTCTGCCCCCTGCACAGCCCCCACATCTGCCCCTTAGGGCCCTTCTGCTCCTCCTGCAACTCCAGGGGTTCTCACCCCCATCCCTGGGGCTGCAGAGAGGGAGGGAGGAGCTTCCAGGGGCCATAGAGATGAGGAGCCAGGGGCTGGGTAGATAGGAATCCTCCAAGATCATAGAGTCTGGGGCCCATGAGGCTAGATAGGCTGATTTCCGGTTCCCGAGTGGGATATTCTTCCCCTCTCCCCCGCATGTCTCAGGGACACAGTCGGAGCTGGGTGTCTCTGTCCCCCACCCAGAGCCAGGGTCGGATTCTCTCCCCAGGGACGGAGCCCAGCGGGAAAGTGAAGATCGGGGCCTCGTCACCAGCATCGATAAATGTCACCTGCCCCCGGTCACAGTCCAGACAAACCCGGATCCTGCTGGGGGCCCGGCTCAGGGGCAGGGGGGTCACAGGGGAGGTGAGAGCCTGCAACTGACCCCACCAGCCCCATTCCACAGCCCAGATCCCCCCCTCAGGGCTACGGCTGATCTGTCCCTTCCTCCTCACAGACTCTCTGGCCACCCCCACAGCCCAGTATCGCCCACTCCCCACCTCCACCTCCACCTCCACCTCCACCTCCCAGCAATGTCTCCCCAAGGTGAATCCCTCACAGCCCAGCACACAGGGCTGAGTGTCAAATCTCTCAGGGTTGTCGGGCAGATCCTGGTGTGTGTCTCCCCAGCTCACACTTTTCCCATCCTCAGACAGGACAAGCTCGGGATGGGCCGTGTCTGGATCCAGAGTCACATTCGCTGGGGGGAGAGAGAATCAGAGCATTAGGGGCAGAGATCAGCCCTGGGGGAGGCTGGGACCATTTCTCACACTCCCCAGCAGCCCCATTCTGGCTGGGACAGGCCTGGATCCCAGGGAGCTGCCTCTGTCCCAGGCGCCTGAAACTGAACAGAGGTGTCAGTGTAGTTCCTGGGCATGAACTCAGCACTAAGGTTGGTGTCAGGAGTGTTTGTGTGACTTCAGCGTGGGAGCCCCTCACTGTGCAGTGTGTTGTTTTTAGGGCTGTGTGTGTCGGTGTCGGTTTGGTGGGTAACTTTAGCTACAATCTCATGAATATGTTTTGAAAGGAATTTTCTGATAATTTAAAGATAATCTCCAGCTGCAATCTCACCCTGTCTGAATGTTCCGAGGCATCCTCTTCTTTTTGTCTCTAGTGCAGACGGCAGAGTGTCTGGAGGGGGGAAGGAGAAAGGAGATGAGATTTCAGGCTTTCATATTTATAACAGTGTCCCCACTCTCAACTCATAGAACTGTCTTTTAATTATGATAGAGAAGCACACCAAGAAATTTAATATAAAAAGGTCTGAAACCGTCTCTTTCCTCTCTCATTCAGATTCAGGCATCTCCCAGCAATGGGACAAACATCCCTGCGGCCTCACAATCATCCCAGGACAGACAATCTGCAAGTGAGATTTACTTTTCCCTTCCTCATCCCCTCCCACCCTTCACACCCAAGTTGGTTTGTCTCATTCATTTACTGCCTTTTGTCATAACCTAGACCCAGAGCCTGCAAAGACTTTGGCATAAAAGTAATTTTATCCACCGCAGCTATGGAGGCTACATGGCTTGGGAGCATATGCCCTGCAGCTCTCTAGCTGGGAGAGAGAAACCCAGGTGCCCCAGATTAGCCCATTTTGGGGAATTTGGGACTGAATGTTGTGACCTTTGGTAAATCATGAATTCATGTGAAACGTCCTGATGCCTGGGCCCCTGCTACATTTGCTCCATTTGTCTCCTTTTCACTAGTTATTAAATTGGTACAAGGGTCATTTCTTATACATAAGTTTGGACAGACCGAGATTTTGCATTTGTACTGAGTGACTTGGCTTTGGCTTTGTGAGCAGTTTGCTTGACATAAGGGAAATGTTGCCTTAAGTGACCTTGATATTAAGTGATGTGATCATAAGTTGCTATGTGGGACAAAGATGTTTTCACCACACAATGTGCTTAAAGACAACAGACACCCAAAATGTACAGCCCAGGAGCAGTTGGCAAAGTCCAAAACCCCTATGCAGAGAACTGGGTCACAGTGACCTATACATAATCCGTGGCAATAAACCAATCAGAAAAGAGAACAATAACATGAAAATAGCTTGTATAGCAAAAGCCCTGCCAATTAAAAAGTTCATGCAT